ATGGAAAATCTCCACAATTCCTTGAAGGAAGGTCCCAGATCATCCTTTGACTATTCAAGCAGAGCACGCCCGACAAGAAAGTCGCTCGCATTCGACGAGCATCCAATCCTACAGTACCAACGAATCTTGGAAGTTGGCACAGAATCTTGCTCCATGCATACGATTCTCTCTCGATGCACATTCACCAAAATTGCTCCTCGATAAAAAGAGGAGTCAAAACATTTCTCACCGGTCCTCAAACTTTCCTACTACGAACAGACACTAACTTAAGCTTGAGAATGCATTAGATAAAAGTTAAAATACCACACAAATATTGAGTTCGGTCTTGTAGGTCATACAGTCGGAAGTATATACATGTCACTTTTCGACGGACACGTAAGCAAATGCATCAACAATATTGATTTTTTTTTTAATATAGAATTTATTTTCTTAAGCAGAGATTTGCGGATGGATGAGATTAGACTTGAGAGAGAAGTTGGTCCAACTTCCCTCTCGCTGTGTTCTCTAAAAAAAATAAATAACAAAAAATAAATAAATAAAAAACGACCCGAGAACGTGGGTCGAGAGTGGGGCCCGCAGAGGACCATATAAATGCGGAGCAGGATCGGGTCACGTGGCCAACCCGGTTCCGTTGAAACCTCTCCGTCTCCGCTCCACGTCTGCTTCCCTGGGCCCACGCGCACCCCTCTTAGTTGGCACCACGCTCCACCCACCCGCTCAATTTTCTCTATTCTCATTCTCTCTGCAGCTGCAGCCACCTTTTATTATTATTATTTTTTTAATTAAATAAATCATCGGTCACGGAGTGATTGGCGCGTGATCCTATGTGATGCTGCTGCCGCTGGTACCCAGATGAACGAATCAGAACCGTTGAAATTTGCATTCACCAAAATGAAAAAATGAGACACGTGGAAGCACCTGTACGGTCTGTTGTTCTGTAATCGTAACCGACAGATCTTATCTAAAGAACGAAGCGTTGTTTTGAATTTTATAATTCCCCTTGAATGGTGGAACTCTTGAAGGTTGGCCTGCGAATCCAATTCTTATTGCTATTTATTAATTGAAAAAATAATAATAATACTACAAATTCTTTTTTGGTTAAAATATTATTTGTGTGCTTCTATTTTTAATTTGGGGTTCATATTGGTCTGATACTTTATATTTTCAACTTTAATTTATTTTAGTGTTTGTATTCTTAATTATTCGTTTTTGTTCTTATACTTTTTAAAAGTGACTATTTTGATATTTATTTGCAAAATTTTAACACAAGAAAACTCTCTAATATAAAGTATGTTATTACATTTCAAGAAATATATTGAGTGTAGTGACTTGTTAAAATTGTGATTAAAAATTATGTTAAAAATAAAATTACAGAACAAAATAATCACTTTTTAAAGGTACAAGTGAACTATGACCACAATGAACTGAACCGAATCTGAAAATACAAAGATCAAAATAGTATTTTAATATTTTTTAATACTAAAAAATGGGGTGGGTAGAATTATATATTTTATTGTTGAGTTATATTTACGATAATAAATTACAAATTCCATATTTATAATTTGGATGTAGCTTTAAGTGTGGTTTGGTTTTTGATTAAACCTCACAAATTATTTTTAATCTATTTTTACCTCCTAAAAGTTTTACCTATTTTCGTTTACTTTTTTTTACTCGGTATTGAACTCTAGTATAATCAATTTACACAATTAGAGAAAAAAAATCTTCAAAAATTTTGTATTCAATGTCAATGATGGTGTTATTTTAATTGATTGGGGTTGTTTTGAATTACAATGTTAGTTTGTAGTTGGATCATTGTTGACTATCCTGTGTGTTGAAATATGCATAATTTCATATCTTTGGAAAAAAATAAAAAATTCATAAGCACACAAGAATGAAATTAAATTAAATACAATGTTATCCAATATATATATATATATATATATATATATATATATATATATACACACACACTAAAAATTGTTTTAAAATTGATAAATAAATTTAAGACTCCATTCTCGAGATCGAGAGATTAATGATTCATATTATGGTGTAAATAATATCATATATATATATATATATATATATATATATATATAAATTTAAACTCACGATCTTTGATTGGAGATAGGTACTTTAATTCGATGGATAAATAATTGTAAATGACACATGCTCCATGTTAAGGATCACACGTTGATGAAAGAAGGAACCTAACAATGATTTATAATAGATATAGACTACTCCTCTCATTGCCAATTGATTTTGAGATGAAACTCATACTAATTAATTATAACACCGTCTTTTCTTCCAACTTCCCCAATAGTAAAAACCATTATTGGAGCTTCTTGAAATTAATATCAAATATTTTTTTTTGACTTTTAGATAACAATAATGTTTTTATTAAATGATGGACGCAATGTAATGAAATCAGCTTTAAATGTAGTTTCAAAATTTTATTTTATGTCTATATATTGGTCTTTAGAATTCTTTCACACTATTTATTATTTTTTACAATTTAAATTGTAATATCCAATTTAGTTTTTCAATTGTCATTAAATTTTATATGTTTCACATTGCAACATATTAAAAATTTTATATAACCTTCTTTATTATCTCCCGATCGTATCATACCTGTAAAAAATCCTGAGGAATAATATTAAAAATATTAAAGGACCAACCAACAAAAAAAGTTCATAAGACTCAAATTACATTATTAAAATTATAGAGGTCAAACTGTAATTAAATTCATATCATAGAGATGAATTAAAATTCTTATAATCATAAGGATTAAAATTAAAACTAGTTACTTCTCTGAAAAAAAAATTAATAATACTAAAAAAATAAAATTAGGGAACAAATTTTTTATTTAACTTAAATTTAAGTTATAAGGGAAAAGAAAAACAGAAAACGCTAAAAATGAGGAAGGGAAAAAGAAGCGTGACCTTTTTACACGAAACGTCTGGCCCACGTGCACATGGGGATGCCGATGCTTATTTATTTATTTCTTATTTTTGGATAAAGAATGCCTTCTCTATTAATTAAATTTCATCATCCAACTAATTATCATTATTTGTCAAAACCAGCGTGATTTAGSGTTGATTGACATATATCTCTAATCCAATTAATTATCATTATTTGTCAAAACGAACATAGTTTGATATATATCTCCAATCAAGAGGTTGTAAGTTCGAACACTCATCCCACATGTTGTACTAAAAAAATAAACTAATTATCATTATTTAGTTAAAAAAAAATTTTTCAAATAATTTTTTCTTAATAACTATTAATGGTCTCAAATCCATTTAAGCTTATTTATGTTAATTTTCATGTACAACTGTCTGATCTTACAATATTTTTCTTATCATGAATTTTAAAAATAAATAAAGAAAAACTTTAAATTTTAATTGAACGTTACATTAGATCTAATTGAGAGTTAATATAAGCATAATTCAGTGCATACAAAATCTACTACAATTCTAAATGTCAATGGTTTAATCTACCATCTCTAAGACATGAATAATATTAATTGATACTAACCACATATTATTATACTTTGACACGTGCATCGTATTATCTTTTTTAAAATAATGATACTAAAATCATTTTACAAATTGTCGTTTTATTTTGTTTTGTTATTCCTTTACTTATGCTATTAATTTGTCAATCGTGTCAAATAATGATTTTTAATTAATATACATGTCACATTTCTGTTTAAATTCATAAAAAAAAAATTACTAGAATCGTAATCCAAAGTTAAAAAGAACAAACAAACAAAAAGTAAACTTTTTTAGATTTATGATACGAAGTAAATAAATGCTAAGGACCAACATTATAATTTAATATAAATATTAGGTCACCAAACAAAGAAGCTCGTTAATAAAAGCATTATGATTTTTTTTAGAAAACGGAAAACGAAAAACAAGTAATATTAAAAAAAAAAAAAAATTGGGCCGACGTGTCTAAGAATATAGGGATGGGTGTGGTGTGGGCTTGGGCTGCGTCTTATGACCAAGTATTGGGAAGGTTTTTCAACCGTGGGCTCGGCCCAGCCCAAATATGACATTTTGAGGTCGAACAAACGAAATTTCTCAATTGATTATATCGTTAATTACTAATTAGTGTAAATCTCATAAATGTCACGATTCAATAATATAAGCTTTTTATGTTTTGTAATTATTATTGAATTATACTAAATAACAAATTCGTATAGGTAAAAAAAAATCATGTTTGTATTAACTATTTGAGTATTATTCAAATTTGTCTTCAAACAAAAAAAAATCAAAATTACTTAAATATTTTATTAATAAAAGTCAATTACTTTATCAATTTGATTAGTAATTTGAGTACTTCATAAACAGAACTGTTTGTTTTTCATCATTTTATATTAATTTTCTCATCAAATATGATTTTTTTTTTAAAAAAAAGGAACAAGAAGTTGTGTTAGTCTTGATTAATTTTTTTTATTATTCACCCTTTTATTAGATCTGTGTCAAATAATGATTTTTCATGCAAGGTTTTAAAAAATACCAAAATTGAATAAGCTGTAAATTTAGCTCTACGTAACATATAAATTATATTTGGAGATATACGTCAATTACCATTGAGTTATACTCGCTTTGACAATATATATGGAAAAAAAAAACGTTTAGTTTCAGAATTTTCAACTTTTGTCTATTTTACTCATTGGAATTTCATTATCTTTTTTTACTTTTTGAAAAAATTTCAAAGTGTCCCTTCTGAAGGAGTTGCCGTTTTAGTTAATTAATTAATTAATTATTTATCATAATAGAATTACTTAAATACTAGTTTAATGTTGTATTGAAAACTTTTCGTTGGGTATAATTTGCAAGAACTAACGGTCACCTTTTAATATACTAATTCTTCAGATCCATTTGGCGCGTTAATCTTCTTCAAACTGACAAAGATTGTGATTTTGTTTTCTTAGTAACTACTAACTACTCAAAATGCGCCAATGGACCTGCAGCATATTCCACTCTCATGGCAAAGATGCGAAACCCCACCACGATTTACCTCCATTTTCCCTCTCTGCCATCGCCACAATCCTGTCGACGAGCTGTAGATGGAAATCGCCACCATGAGATGGGTTTCGATTGCCCTTTTCTTGCTCTTAATTGGGTTGGCTGTGGCTGATCATCGCCGAATCCCCACCACTCTCGATGGACCATTTTTGCCCGTTACTCGGCGATTTGATCCGTCTCTGAGGCGTGGAAGCGATGATTTGCCCATGGATCATCCAAGGCTCCGGAAGAATGTCTCGTCGAACTTCCCTGAACAGATTTCCCTCGCGATTTCCACGTCGTCGTCCATGTGGGTTTCTTGGGTTACGGGTATTTTCTTTCTCCATCCCTGATTAATTAATTTCCAGTTCGTTGTAATCTTAGTTCTGCGTTTTGATTGCGAGAAGTTTTGTCTACGTGCTTCCGAGTTCAGATTAAGTTAAGTCAAATTGGTGTGAGGAATCATAGCATCATTGATATGTTTTCCTTTTGAAGTTTCGAAGTAGCTGTCATGTCGTTGTGTTGTTTGATGGAATTTGCGATCTGGGTTTGTTCGAATTGGTTCAGGGGATGCTCAGATTGGCAAAAATGTGACCGCGCTGGATCCATCATCCGTCGGCAGTGAGGTTTGGTATGGAAAAGAAAGTGGGAATTACACGAGCGTGAGAAGAGGGTTTTCGACTGTCTATAGCCAACTATATCCGTTCGAAGGGCTGCTTAATTACACATCTGGCATCATTCACCATGTCAGAATTGACGGTATTAAAGCTCTTCTTCATGGTTTTCTTATGATAGTTGGACTGTTTTGAACTCTGTAATTGTTTTGATTGTTCAGGTGACTGAAACGATCACGATTTCTTATAATTTCGTCAGTATGGCTAGTTGAGGAGATTAGTTTGAAAGGATGGTTTTTTGGAGGTTTAGTTTTGCCTAATATGTTGTTCCTATCAGAGGTTGCTAGTAGAGTAGATGTAGAAGACTATTCCCTTTAATTTGCCAAATATGTGTTTAGTCTCTTGCAGGTCTTGAGCCTGAAACAAAGTACTATTATCGATGTGGAGATAGCTCTATTTCAGCATTGAGTTGTGAGCACGTTTTCGAGACTTTACCAGTGCCTACCAAAAGCTCATATCCTCGAAGAATAGCCATTGTTGGAGACTTGGGCCTTACGAGCAATTCAACAACAACCATTGATCATCTTATTAAGAATGATCCTTCTCTGATATTGATGATAGGAGATTTGACTTATGCAAACCAATACCTCACAACTGGTGGCAAAGGAGCTTCGTGCTTTTCATGTGCATTTCCGGATGCCCCTATCAGAGAGACATATCAACCACGTTGGGATGGGTGGGGTAGGTAAGACGCGGGATAACAATATCCAATTTTCTTGTATTCAAGGGTAGTTTGGGTTGCTTGGGGCTTCAAGAAACCTCTTTGAGTTCTTAGGTTCAAGTTATATGGAGCGCAAATCTATGAAACAATGACCTCTTGCATATGAGGACAGTGGGCATACCCCAGGTATAAGGACGGTCAAAGGATAGTCGACACCTGGGTAATAAAAAAAACAAAATAATAAAAAAAATCCCCCATTTTCTGAATCCTGTTTTTAGATGTTGGAAATAATTTCTCTTACAAATGTTTCTAAGATTTGGGGTAAATTTTGTGGAAGAAGTACTTTTTCAATATCAAACTTTACTAGCATCTATAAAAAAAAAATTAAATTATTGTAATCTATTCACTTAAACTTTTGGGTTTAGCGATAAAATGATATCAAGTAGGAGGTCCTATATGTATTCGAGCTCTTATAATGTCATTTCATCCCCATAACCCATCAATTTAAGCTTTTAGGTTGAGGGGAGCAAGAATGGTCTGTTTCTATAATTCTTGCATTACAATATACTATGGTTTTGACATGGATCATTTTGGAGTATCAGGTTCATGGAGCCGCTGACCTCGCGAGTTCCGATGATGGTTATTGAGGGTAACCATGAGATTGAGCCCCAAATCTCTGGGATCACTTTTAACTCATATTTGACAAGATTTGCAGTGCCCTCTGTTGAGAGTGGCTCGAACAGTAGCTTCTACTACTCATTCAATGCTGGAGGAGTTCATTTTCTTATGTTGGGAGCATATGTTGATTACAACACTACTGGTATATGCTTCCTATCAGTGTTTGAAAAAGAACTTTTCTGGTCAAATAAGAATGGTCTGTAAAATTTTCAATGGCATGGCTCTCATATAGGTGCTCAGTATGCTTGGCTGAAAGAAGATCTAGATAAAGTGGATCGCATGGTTACCCCATGGTTAGTAGCTGCCTGGCATCCTCCATGGTACAATAGCTATTCTTCCCATTACCAGGAATTTGAATGCATGCGTCAAGAGATGGAACACCTTCTTTACGAGCATGGTGTCGATATTGTTTTCTCTGGTCATGTAAGTCGCCAAATTAAGGATGCTCCTGGAAGAATCCCCAATCAAAAGGAAAATAAAGATTCTTTACTGGTAGTTCTCTGTTATAAGATGAATATTTGTTTGAATGTGAATCATCCATCTCTGCTCTTCAGGTGCACGCCTACGAGCGCATGAACAGAGTGTACAACTATACACTGGATTCTTGTGGCCCAGTTTATATAACAGTTGGAGATGGTGGAAATATTGAGAAAGTTGATGTAGACTTTGCGGATGAGCCTGGAAAATGTCCTTCAGCTGGAGATAACATCCCAGAATTTGGAAGACTCTGTCATTTGAACTACTCTTCAGGTCCAGCAAAAGGAAAGTTTTGTTGGAACATGCAACCGGAGTGGAGTGCATTTAGAGAAAGCAGCTTTGGTCATGGAATACTTGAGGTAAATAATCTTTTGTTTAACATTTTTGTCCTTAGGCAACTTTTCTCACTGGAATTCAGTTGATCTGCTCTCCTATTTTGTTTTTAAAAGATCAACATCTATTTTAGTGAGGCAATAGTAAGTCATATTAAGTTAACTTTATATTTTCTCTTTAAAATATAATTTCAAGTTCCGATTCTACAAAATTTTAGACTCGATAAAAATTTCATGAACACCTTGTTAATAGTGCAAACAAAGTCTAGTATAACTAGAGACGGAAGAGACCAAAAGCAAGAGCAAAGCTATGAAAGCTTTTGTCATCATACCATTATCAAGATACTTGAAGTCGATTTTCTTTAACACATCAGATATCATAGCTGCTAAATTATATGCAAATCTCAGTCTTATAAAATATAATAACATAAAAAGTTGGCCCTTCTAGTGAGATGCCTCGTTTTTTAAATGTTTCGATTGATTTTGTTCTCTAGTTGAAGATGCTATGCTACTTCATCTGAGGCAAGAGCTGCAAAACTTTACCAGTTTATTTGTCTTGTGCAGGTAGCAAATGCTACGCACTCGTTGTGGACTTGGCATCGGAATCAAGATGTGTACATGGAAGATAGCCATGGAGATCAAATATACATCGTTAGGCAACCCGAGTTGTGCTCTCCAACCATCAAGATCACTTCTTTATCCAAACTATCTTGAATTCTTCGTCCGTACAGGTTCTTTGAATCTTTCCTTGTTCTTAAAGAAAGCCAATAAAAAATAGTTCGAGGTTGGAGCGGTAAGTAACCACCATGGATTCTCCCAGACATTTTTGGTATATAAAGGGACTTGGAAAGAACGAGTTCAAGCCCATGATTCACCACCTACCTAAGATATAAAAATCTATCTGAGAACCAAACGTTTCTTTCCTTTACTCCCTCGCTGGACGCTTCCATTGGAAATGGGTACCTCTATCAGGTAAATGCAAATGTCATCTCAATTTTTTTTTTACGTTATTTGTTTGTTAAAATTAATGGAAAATAAAAATGGCATACTTGTTTTCTTATTAATGACATTCAATGAAGAACCTTAGTAGTCCAAAACAAGAAATGGAAAGAAGTTTATTTCTTTCTTTCTTTTAAGTTTTAAGTAAAGTTTCTTTCTCTCTTCCGTTTTCCCTTATTTAGAAAATATAAATTTGAAGGTTAAATTGGGGTTTTTTTAATTAAAAAAAAAGTTACAAAAAAAAAAGTAAAAAAAAAAAGAGTTCCGTTGGTAACTATTTAAAAAGGATTTAGAGGGAATGAAACCATAGTGACCACCTACCTAAGATTTAATATCCTAGCACAAGATGGAAGATCGAATTTCTATAAGTTGTTTAATCGTTGAACTATGTTCCGGGCGTAAATAATAGAAGTTGAAATCGGGAAGTTGTGGTTAAAAATAAAATTGGAAAAGCAGTTTGCCGTTAAAAAAATTATTATGTCTATTAATGTAAATAAATTATATGTATTTCTATATAAGTAAATATTAAGGATGAAATAATAGAAGTTGATGCTACAATTTCAGATTTTAAAATCGGCCACGGATGCTTTTCACGTGGAGCAGTGAATTATTCGAGAAGTTGGCGGGGCCCACCTGAAATACTAAGCCATTTTTGCTTCTTCCATATTTCTCAATGATTTCCACGTGGCTTGCTTGATGAAAAGGAATAGGTCACGTAATTATAAATAAAAAAAAAGGAAAAAAGCTAGATTTTTAGTTTTCCATAAATAATTAAAATGATCCTCAATAATTCGAATTTAAATGCATTGTTGCTTGTTTTTCTTATTTTACTTTTGAGAAAAGTACATAAAACGAAGCAAAACAAAATTAGAATGCAAGGTTGCTTGTTACTTCCGTCAAGAACAAAAAAAACTATCTATACAACAAAATTTATGGATAAATACATTTTTTTGGTTGAATATTCATGTTTCAAAAGTATAAGGATCGAAATAAATATTTCGAAAATATAAATATAAAAATGAACAAAATTTCAAAATAAATATTTTAAAAATATATGGATTAAAATAAACTAAACGTAAGATTTAAACTATTTTTTAAAACTTAATTAAAATTTTGGAATACATTAAGTGTAAAATCAATAAGACTAAATTGAGGTGGTCTTATATTTTAATATTAACTAACAAGTTAATTGCATTAATTAATACATACAAAATAAAATTGAAATTTCAACAATTACAAAGTAATACGATTATTAGTACAAAATTAGAAACATAAACATAACTCTAATTAGGACATTTATCTACGAGCAAAAGATCCAAATTTCAAAATCCACCGTGGTACTAAAATAAAAAATATGGATAATAAATTAAAATAAAAATAACAAAATAATATTTTTACCTAAAAAAAATTAGCAACATAAACTTTTCAAAATGGAAGAATTATTAGATACAAAACCTTGAGAATTTCGGACACGGTAGCCGTGAAAAGATCACCAAAGACCAAAGTTGAAGAACTTGAGCTCGGAAGTTGTGATTTGGGCATCGAATATTTATATGTCTCTTCCGTTGGAATTGTAGCATCACCACCCACCGCTTCACGTGTCGCTGTTGCAGAAAATCTTTACCGTTCCGATTCGATTCCTCTGTTCTTCCGTCGCCCCTCCACTTTTCAAACTCCTACCTCGATCTTCCTCCATTTCCGTCCACGATGCAGTACAAGAACTTGGGGAGGTCCGGGTTGAAGGTGAGCCAGCTATCCTACGGGGCTTGGGTCAGCTTCGGAAACCAGCTCGATGTGCGGGAGGCCAAATCTCTTCTCCAGTGTTGCCGTGACCATGGCGTCAATTTCTTCGACAACGCCGAAGTCTACGCCAATGGCCGGGCCGAGGAGATCATGGGCCAGGCCATTCGGGAGCTCGGATGGAAGCGCTCCGACATCGTCGTCTCCACCAAGATCTTCTGGGGCGGTTCCGGTCCCAATGACAAGGGCCTCTCCAGGAAGCACATCGTTGAAGGTACCAAGGCTTCGCTCAAGCGATTGGATATGGATTACGTCGATCTTATCTACTGTCACCGCCCGGACTCCTCCACGCCGATCGAGGAGACGGTGAGGGCCATGAATCATGTGATTGATAAGGGATGGGCGTTTTATTGGGGAACCAGTGAGTGGTCCGCTCAGCAGATCACGGAGGCTTGGGGAGTCGCCGATCGATTGGATTTGGTTGGCCCGATCGTGGAGCAGCCCGAGTATAATTTGTTATCTCGGCATAAGGTATGTGCCTCCATTCGCAGCTACTCGATTGTTTCCTGTTGTGTTCTTAGATCGTACAAATAGAGTTTTCGATTGAGGGTTTCTGTAATTGGTTGCCAATGGAACTGTGTATATAGTTTCTTCTCTGATTGATTGACTGGGGGGATCTTGATGGGCTAGATATATAATTTTGTCCTTTATCTATGTTCTTTTCCAATTTCATTTTGATCTTTTAAAAGTTTCATTCCGTTTTTTTTTTCATTCAAAACTTTAGTTCGAGTAAATATTAAAGAAACAACTATGCGGAGATTGAAAAATAGTACTATTTTCCAACAAGGTGATTGGTTGGTAGTGTAGCACTAGCAGTACTTTTAATGGATAGATTTTCTATATGAGTAGCACATTTCAGGTTGGGTTATATAGAATGTGTAGGTGTTTCAATCTTTTTAGTGGGTTTGTCTAGCTCATTAAATTAAGATGGGAGGAATCCTCAAATCAATTAATAAAATGTCTAACTCATTACTTCCTTTTATTAACAGTAGAGATTTTATTGAAAATATTTAATATGTAGAAGATGAAATGACAACTTTTAAAGATTAGGGATTAAATTGAAAAGTGGCACATAGATGAAGCTATTAACCATGTACGTTCACTTGTAATAGTATTCTCATTGTTCTCCTCTCCCATTTGAGAACAAGTGGAGGCCTATCTTTAGAAGATTGTCAAATGAGATTTTTTTTGTTGGAACACAGTCTTTAATTTAACTCATGTACGGTTTCATCTGGTGGAAAAATGATTAATTTGTACTCATTTATGTATAGATTCAGACGTGCTGCTAATGTGTGGATGCAGGTCGAGTCCGAGTTCCTCCCTTTATACACCAACTATGGTTTGGGTTTAACAACATGGAGTCCACTGGCATCTGGTGTGCTCACTGGGAAATATAACAAGGGAAGCATACCACCTGATAGCCGATTTGCTTTGGAAAATTACAAGGTAAGATGAATTTGGATTTTACAGTTTGGCATGCTTCCATATGAGTTAGTGAATGTAGTGAATAAGTTATTGGTTAATCGGTTTCTTTTTCCAATTTTAACGTCTGCAAGTGACCTCCTCCCTAGTGATTAAAGAACTTAGTGTTGTTTACTTTATCCAACAATGAGAACATGGTAACTAAGCCTCTTATTCTGCATGTTTGTAGAATCTTGCAAACCGATCATTGGTTGATGACGTGTTGAGAAAGGTCAATGGGTTGAAACCAATTGCAGACGAGCTAGGTGTGCCATTGTCGCAGCTAGCAATTGCGTGGTGTGCTGCAAATCCTAATGTCTCATCAGTCATTACTGGTGCAACGAAAGAATCTCAGGTAAGTTTTATGAGCTTTTTGGTTTAGAATCTATGCACCCATTACTCCGAGATCTAGTCTTGTCAGCATGTATGGCCAATTCTTTCATTTAATAGGGAAAGATGAAAAGACTGATGCAGGCATCGGTTAAACATGGGTGGACTAATTGGGAGTCTTTCCTTTGGCTCATCGGGTGCACCTAATTGGATTTGTAAGGGATGGCCTTCAAAGAGTGGGCTTGTATGGAAGAGGCTTGTGGAGTGTGCTCTTCTACTACCCATAATATTTCAAAAAAATCTGTTAATCTAACCGGCATCAAACTATACCAATTCACTACAAAACTTTTTAGATATAGGTCTCATATTCTGCTAGTTATTGAGAGATCTTAAAAGGTTGATCTTTTAGCTGTGAGGATATATCTAACCTGATTCAGTGGGATTATCTCTGTTCTCTTGGTTTGGAAGCGTAAATATGCATATCCAAATAGGGGAAATATAATAACAACAATTTTGAATGCCCTTGCATCCAGCCATTGAATTGTAGTTCAATTTCCCATAACGGATTTAGGAACCACACAGTTAAGACTGATAATAGTTGGGCAATATTTAGGGAGCACCTAAAACTAATTAAGTTGGACAATTAAGACTTAATTTAAGGTAGAGAATGTTTGTTCTCATATGTATAAAAAGTTTTGAGATTGTGAGACTTGAAGTTGAGAAGTTTTAAATTGTGCGATTTGTGTTCGGATTGTAGAAACTATAAAGGAATAAGCTATAATAACTGAAGTTTGTGCAACTTGTATTTGGTTGATGAGTTTTATGATCAATAATAGTTAGTTTATAGTATAACAAGCGAGTTTCATAGGCTTTGGTTTGGTTTGGGTCTGTTTATGTAATATGGATTTATACAAGTCGTGGGATTAGCAAAGCTGTAATCTATGATAAACAAATCAACAACATAAGTTTGATTTCTTGACTTCGGGCAACATTAATCTAACTCATGAGCTAAACATCCTCTTAATACCAACCCACCATTGGAACTTTGAGGTTCTTTGTTTGTGTCTATTACGAAGGCTCGACAAACTGTTTTTTGGACGTGTGCAGGTGCAGGAGAACATGAAAGCTGTGGATGTGATCCCGTTGCTAACTCCTGCAGTAATGGAGAAGATCGAGGCTGTTGTTCAAAGCAAGCCAAAGCGTGCAGAGTCATTTAGGTGAAGATAGCACATTATTTAGCAGTTAGCACCGTTGTCTTCTGCGGCTCCCATTTTTCTATGTTGTTTATTGGTGTGTTATGACCTTCATTGTATCTCGTATGTTTGTAATGAACTAGTGGGGGGACTTCATTATTCTGGCCTTTGGTGTGTATGATTTTTAGGGAGGTAAAACAAACAATTCTTAATTATATAAAAACTTGATGAAGTATCGATGGTCGCATGGACCAATGCTTCTGTTTCGTTCAAGCAGGATCCGAAGTATCTGCTTTATCAAGCAGAATGCTTTCGATGGTGGGTTATCGACCCACTCTTAGTGGTCATTAATCCACCCTTAGTAGTAAAAAAAAACGAGTTGTAAATCTAAATAGCTGTGGTTCTTGTTATTGGCTTGAACCGTAGGTGGTTCAAACGAACGAGTTGTTCGTGTGGTTGCTCGAACGAACGAGTTGTTTGTGTGGTTCTTGTTATTGGCTCGAATCGTAGGTGGCTCAATAGATCGGGTTGGAAATCTAAATCTAAATATGTTTGAAGTGGCTCATATGTAAGACGTTAAGGGTGTGTTTTCGCATGATGCTTTTAACTACTTGAATATGGTAAAAATTAACTTTTGGAAATTTTAAAATGCTTTAAATTGCTTCCAACTCGGAAAGGGGAAGTATTGAATTAGCATCTCTTTATTAAAATATCATATTGATCTATTTATTTTATTTATTCTGTTTTGTTTTATTACTTCTTAAATTTCAAATTTAGTCTGTTGTACCTTGAATAAATCTAACAGGTTATTAATGGCTTGATAAGTTGAACATAGATAACTCTTAATGTGATATGTTTATTTGATAGATACATCTCATAAGTAGAATAAAAAAAATGTTATACATTTTCTAAAGATTATTTCACTTAAATTATATCTGTGAACTTTTAGGTCTGTGAGATCTTAGTTTAAAAAATTATTTAATATCTCTATAAACTTTCGGTTTTATGCCTAATAAATCTTTGAGTTATCTATTTTTTTAAATAAATTTATGATTTAATCGATTTTTTTAATTCATAAATTTATTAAACACAAAATTAGAAGTTTAAAATTTTATCGGATAAATTTAACTTTATGTCCAACAAATCTATTGATTTTAAAAAAATAAGAAACAAAATATTAGGAATTTACACCAAATTAACTTATTAGAAAAAATAGATGATGATCATACATGGGTGGAGAGCACGTATTGGCCACTGCCACTGTGTTCCACGTAGGACTGGATTTCCATGGACCTTGCAAAAGTTTGCCATCCACACACACATATATTTATTGGTTTATTATTATAAAATCAAATCATGTGCAGCCTATATTATAATTAAATCCAAATAATTTTGAAGAGTAAAATTTTTACCTATCAACTTCTAGGTCAATAGTAAAAATATATAACACTTTTTTATCAAAGTTGAAAGTTTAAATCTTACTTGTTGTAGTAAAAAATAAAATACAATATTTTTTAAAATTTTCGATTCAATATTATTTTCTTAACATATAATTTTCAAATTCAATTCTTATGAAAATAAAATAAGATAGTTTGTTTTATTATCAATTAATATCTATGTATAATTGCCAACGTCGCTATAGCTCAACAACACAGGTAAGTTTCGAATAAATTCAAGAAACATTTAGCACTATTTTTCAAACATCAAAAACTAAAATGTCCCTTTTAAAATTTTAACGACTAAATGGACAATTAATCCAAACCTCAGGACAAAAAATATATTTTACCATAATCATAACTATTTAGATTAAATTTTTAAAAAGAAAAAATAAAATAAAATTCCTACATGTGTGTTGTCAATATTATTCTTATGTATTAATGTATGCCTAATTCAATTGGTTAATGATCCTTACTCTCGTACCTTGTTATTTTTAAGAGGAAGAAAGATAAATTAAGACATATATCATCGATAGTCGAAAATTCGAAATCTCCGGACTAAAAAAAATAAAATATAAAAAATACATATTAGAAAAGGGTGCGTTGAAAAAAGCGAGAAATTCATAAATTAGTTTGGCGGTTGGGAACTTCCCTCCCTGAGATTTTTGCCGCGTTATTCTGACCATTGTTGTTCTCCTACAACTCCGTTCCTCATTCAACACCTC